GAGCCGCCAGGGGACCCGCGAGCGCCGAGCGCATCCACCGGCGGGGCGGAGCGAGGGCCGGGTGCGCCGGGGCGGCCGCCGCAGGGAGGAATGGGGCCGAGGGCTGCAGCGCTCCCTGGTGGTCGGAGGACGGCGGTACCGCGGACCGGGAAGCTGATCCAATACGGAGGCCCGGGACGTCGTCCCTCACGAGGAGGCAGGACCCTGACCCGTCCAGGGCTAGAGCTCCACGGGACACACGGGCCCCACGGGACACACATCTGCACGGGACACATGGCCCCCACGGGACACACATCTGCACGGGACACACGGCCCCCACGGGACACACATCTCCATGGGACACACGGTCCCCACGGGACACACACCCCACGGGACACACGTCTCCACGGGACACACGGCCCCCACGGGACACACATCTCCATGGGACACACGGTCCCCACGGGACACACATCTCCACAGGACACACATCTCCACAGGACACACATCACCACGGACACACGGCCCCCACGGGACACACATCTCCACAGGACACACATCACCACGGACACACGGCCCCCACGGGACACACATCTCCACAGGACACACATCACCACGGACACACATCTCCATGGGACACACGGCCCCCACGGGACACACATCTCCACAGGACACACATCACCACGGACACACGGCCCCCACGGGACACACATCTCCACAGGACACACATCACCACGGACACACGTCCCCCACGGGACACACATCTCCATGGGACACACGGCCCCCACAGGACACACAGCTCCCATGGGACGCACATCTCCACAGGACACTCAGCCTTGCGGGACACATGAGCTACCAGGACACATGGCCCCCAAGGACACACGGCCCCCCCAGGACCATGGCTTCCCAGGACACTCTGCCCACCCAGGACACATGGCGCCTCAGAGCACTGGCCATCGCTCTGTACCCAGCTTTCAGAATTTGGTTCTTCCACAAGAGTCAGCTGTGTTGTAAGTGTGGGAAAGAGCAGCTCTTCCCTGAGGGTTACCAAGGCCACAGCATAGCAGCACTGGACAGGCAGCCTAGCCAGTGATCATGGGACAGGGGCCCAGGATCAAATCACAGAGCCAGAACAAGACTGGGACTCCTAACTCTAGTCCATAGACTCAGTACCTGCTCCCGAAGGGTGCTGGGTGCTCATCCCCAAGGCTTGTGTCATATTTACTGCTGTGTACACGTATGGGTACCTGTCGTGACTGACATGTTACATGGGGGAAGTAGAGAGACATGGAAAGGGACCTTTCCCTTTATTATTGTGAGTGCCACCTTCGGGGCCTTCCTCAGCTCATATTTCATTCAGAGTCTTCCTGTGGCTATAATGGGCTGGGGGTGTTAATTGAGGGCATTGGCTCGCCCTGTTACTTGTGTCCTAATCAGGAAGTGCAAAGCTGCGTTGCCCACTGTAGTAGGTTGAATGGTAGCCCCCAAAAGACAGGCCTACCAGAATCTGTGGACATGAACTTGTTTAGAAAAAGAGTCTTTGCAGATGTAATTAAGGATCTTGAGATGAGATCATCTTGGATTTAGAGTGAGCCCTAAATACAGTGACAATTGTCCTTAGAAGAGAAGGGGAGAAAACATAGAGGGGAAGACCACATGAAGACAGGCAGAGATTGGGGTGGGGGTGGGGCCACATCAAAGAATGCCAAGAATTGCCGGCCACCACCGGAGCAGATTCTCTTCAGAACCTCCAGGACGGTGAGTAAATAAACGTCTGTTGTGGAAGCCACCTGGTGCGTGGTGCTTTGTTACAGCCACCCAGGTCTCCACGTGGAAGACAGGAAAAAGGGACTCAAACCTTTTTTTGGTTTGATGCGATAGGACTCACCTAACCCGCATCCTCTGAGGAGGGTGGAAAGCACACTCTTTCCTCCAGGGGTTAGACTGAGCTTTAGCCAGGATTGGAGGGGATCAGAGTTACGGATGTTTCATATTAAGACACAGCTTTCTGTTTGTAAGGCAAAAAATAACTAATGTTTTTTTTGTTTTGCTGTGTTTCTTTTTGAGGCTAGCCAGCACAGGGATCGAACCCTGGACCTTGGTGTGATCAGCACCGTGCTCTAACCAACTGAGCAACTGGCCGCCTCCATCTAATGTTTTAACAATGTAAGTCATAGAAAGAAATGATTAACAGAATCCTTTTTAAACGTTCTGAGTATCGTCCTGAGCCAAGGAGTGTCCCTACGTGGGTCAGGGGTATCCCATGAGAGTATGAAAGGGTGGCAAAGAATGAAAAATCCTGCACGAGACCGGTGGGTTTAGCCACCTGGGTAGAAGCAAATATAGAAGTATGTCCTGGAGACACCGGGCACCCATCCACATGGCCATGGACACATTGTGGCATCCACTATGTCTACAACACCACAGAGGGCAAACTGTAGCCCTTTCTGAGCATCTGGACGAATCTCAGAAGGTTGAGCGAAGAAAACAAGTCAGAGAAGCGTACACATGATATGATCCGATTTACACAAAGACCAAAATAGGAAAACTCAATCTATTATTTAGGATCTGTACATATGTGAATACACACATGTAAGGAAAACCAGGGGCCTGGTTTACACAGAACTGAAGATGGTGGTTACTCCTGGTTGCAAGAGAATAATCTGCACTAGGGAAAGGGTGTGTGTGGTCCAATGAATAACTGCCCCCGACAACGTCCATGTCCCAATCCCTGGAACCTGTTAATATGTTGCCTTAGAGGGTAAAAGGATTTTGCAGATGTGGTTAAATTAAGGACCTTGAAATGGGCAGATTTTCCTGGATTTTCTGGGAAGGCCCCAAATGTAATGACAAGGGTTCTTAGAATTGGGAGGGGAGAGGGTCAGTGAGGCAGAAGGCGGAAGGTCGGCACAGAGAGGGGACTGGGGTGATGCAGCTGGGAGCAGGGAATGCCAGCAGCTCTAGAGGCTGCAGAGGCGAGGAGCGGATTGTTCCCAGACCTTCCAGCTCTGCTGACAACTCTATTTTAGCCCCTTAAGACTTGTTTTGGACTTCTGACCTCCAGAACTGTGAAAGAATACATGTGTGTTGTTTTAAAGCACTATATCTGTGGTAATTTATCACAGTTTGTAGTAGGCTGCAGAAAGGCTCTCAGTGATACTGGGTTGTAACCCGTGGAATGTTTAAATACAGTGTTACCTTACTTTGGAAGAAGGATCTCTGCAGTGTGACTAAGTGAAGAATCCTGAGATGGGAGATTATCCTAGTGTGATGGTTATTTCTAGGCGTCAATTTGGCTAGATTAAGAAATACCCAGAAACCTGGTAAAGCTATATTCTTGGGTGTGTCCATGACAGTGTGACTAAGTGAAGAATCCTGAGATGGGAGATTATCCTAGTGTGATGGTTATTTCTAGGTGTCAATTTGGCTAGATTAAGAAATACCCAGAAACCTGGTAAAGCTATATTCTTGGGTGTGTCCATGACGTTTCCAGAAGAGATTAGCAAGAAAGCCTGAGTGGACTGGGTGGGAAAGATCTGCCCTCAGTATGGGTGGGAACCATCCAATCCCCTGGAGGTTGGGAGAGAACCAAAACCAAGAAAAGGCAAGTTTCTCTGTCTATCTGCCAGGGCCGGGATACACTCCACTCTCCTGTCCATGGACATCAGAGCTCAAGACTCTTCAGCTTTTGGGTTCCAGGACTTACACCAGCAGCACCAGCAGCTTCCCTGGTTCTGAGGCCTTTGGACTTGGACTGAGCCACGCTACCTGCATCTAGTTTGCAGACGGCCTGTCGTGGGACTCCTCAGCCTTCACAATTGTATGAGCCCGTTCCCCTAATAAATCCCCTCTCATATATTTATATACATGTCCCATTGGTTCTGTCTCTCTGGAGAACCCTGATCAATACACCTGGATTATCCAGATGTGCCCTAAATGCCATCACATGTATCTCTACAAAAGCAAGACAGAGGGAGAATTGACACACAGGAAGACCACCACGTGAAGACAGAGGCAGAGACTGGGGTGATGCACCCACAAGCCAAGGAGTGCCGAGGGCCCCCAGGAGCTGGAAGAGGTAAGGAAGTGTCCTCCCCTGGATCCTCCACGTGAGTGTGCCCCTGCCCTGCTTTGATTTCAGCTAGTGATACTGATTTTGGACTCGTGGGCTTCAGAACTGTGACAGAGTAAATTTCTGTTGCTTTAAGCCACCAAGCTGGTAATTTGTTACAGCAGGCACAGGAAAGTAAAATAACTTGCAGGGGGCGCTGCTTCTTATTTGTACTTCTTAACCTGCTGGGGAGTGGATGCGCAGGTATTTCTATTCATAACAGCATGATCATTCGTTAGAATACACATGTTACATGAACTCTGTTGTGTGTGTGATATACTTCACAAATAAAACAATGAGAGAAACTTGAAAAACAAGCCGCCACCCATTATCCCCATTTTTGAAGTGAGACACAGAACGATGACAAGATTTTGGGGCAAGGGATCAGGACACCAACAGGTAATGGTGATTGGCTTTGAGTAACACAGGCACCTTCATTCAGCCTCTGCAATCGTGTGTGGCAATCAAACAGTTGAAATGTGGCCAGTGCGATGGAGGAACTGAATTTTCAGTTTTATTTAATTTCAACTAATTTAATTGAAACAGCTGCGTGTAGCAAGTGGCTTCTTGATTGGATGAGGTCAAGCCTGTCTTTCCTCTGTCTTTCCCCCCCCCTCAGGTCTCCCTACATTCCTCTTCGGCCTGGGTTGGACCACTTTTACCCAGACTTGTCCTGTGCCCTCTTTTTGTTGACAGTGGCTTCAGAGGGGCCTGGTGCAGGGCACCCCTGTGTTCTGCCCAGTCTGTATCCTCCCGCTCCCTGACTTGTCCCTGTGCCACTTTGCTCTGCTGGCCTCTGCCCGTTCCTGTGGTTGCAGGGCATGGTCTCCTTTTCCTGGCCTAGCCAGCTTCCTTCAGGGATCCTGCCAGGAAATGCCCCCCCAACATTTCCAGCTGGCTTCTGTCCCTCCATTCTGGGGTGTCTTAGAGGACTGTTCAGGACCCAGAGGGTGAACAGAGCCCTGATTCCCATCCCTCCCTTTTCCCTCATCCATGGCTGTACCCTCCCTCCCTGGTCCCCAGGCTCCGCTCTTCCCATCACCCCAGCTCTGCCCACCCTCAGCCCATTCAGAAGCTGGGAAACTCTTCCTCAGCATCTGTAGAACTTCCTCAAGAAGTGAAATCCCCAGGCCCACTTTGAAGAAGAAGGGATCGTCGAGGTCCAGAGCAAGCGTCCTCCGGAAGGGAGGCATGTTTGAAAGGTTCTCTCTGGAGTATCGGTGGAGGGCAGGGCGGCTGAGTAGGCAGCAGTGTAGGCAGGTGGGGGATCCAGGGTGTTGGCCAGCTGGGGCTCTCTCGGTAGAGTCGTGGGGGCTTGGGTGGGGCCAGCAGAGTGGCCAGGGCTGCTCATCCCCCCACAGTGGCAGGTGCCAGCCATCTGGCCTCCCTCGCAGTTCCCGGATGACTTTGCAGTTGCTGTACTCCTCATCGTCCCCACCAGCCATGCTGGCCTGGCTAAGCACACTGTCCTGTTGCCAGAGCCGCAGCGGCTGTCCCAGGATCAGCTGTTTGAAGAAGGAAAAAGCCCAAATGTCGCATGTCCTTTCTAGCACCCTCCTACCAAGACGCCCCTGGTTTCTCCACAGTGTGAGGTCTCCCTCACTGCAGTGCATCAGGGGAGATCATGGTGGTCTTTGGCTAACAGCATTGACAGCACCTCTGTGCTGCTGGGAAGCAGCAGGATGCCTCACCCAAAGGGGTGAAGGCTGGAGCCACAGCAACCACTTTGAGGCAGGGTGGAATTTGGAATTCTTCCTTTTTGCCTCCATGTTCCTCTCTACAGTGCTCAGAGGCCTCTGTGCCAGGCAGGATTTGATTGCTATCATGGGAAAGCAGAGTAAGAGAAACAATATTCAGCTGTTTAGTTCTAGACTGAGGCAGGGAAGGAACAGTAGTTTTAGAAAGCCAAAACTTTGCTGGCAGGAGCTAGCCTTTTTTCAGAGAAGAAAAGTGTGTAAGAATCCAAAGATCTAAAGGAGGGAGACACCAGGTTAAAAACGGATAAAGGTCGGGCCGGCCCGTGGCTCACTCGGCAGAGTGCGGTGCTGATAACACCAAGGCCACGGGTTCGGATCCTATATAGGGATGGCCGGTTTGCTCACTGGCTGAGCGTGGTGCTGACAACACCAAGCCAAGGGTTGAGATCCCCTTACCGGTCATCTTTAAAAAAAAAACAAAGATCTAAAGAAAGAGGGCACACGCGGGAAGTGCCCCAGGCTCTCCTGAGCTGGGGCCGTGGGGAACCGAGGGCCTCACCCATGTCCCCCGACACGTACAGCCATCCCAGCGGTGACCACCAAGCCACAGCAAGAAGGGCCCTGGGTTCCTGAGCTGAGGTGGTGGGGGGTGAGGGCTTTTGCCACATCCTCCTGACATCTACACCCAGCCCGGCAATGGCCAAGCCACTGCTGGAAGCCCCCCGATCTGCCCTGTGGGAGTGAGGGGGTGCCACAGGCCTTGATCCCACCCCTCCTGCCTCCTTCTTCCATCCCATTTCTGTCCCCTTTCCCCTCTCCTCTCCCTCCCAGCTGCTCCACAACAACATCCTAGAATGTAAAAAATAATATTAATAAAATTACATTTTCTTTAAAAAAAAAAGAAAGAGGGCACAGATGTAAAAGGGGTGGATCAAGAGCCAAACCCCCAACCCTAAGGTTCAGATAGGTTGGGGGAAGGAGAGGCAGGGCCAGCACAGGAGACGGCTCAGGGTAGGGACAGCACAGGGCACCCAGCATGTGGTGAGTCACCGCCAGCAAGAAGCTGCCGTGGGGGCCCCTCGTTACTGACCATCGACTACTGCCCGCCTGCTGCTGGTGGGAGGGTCAGCAGCAGCAGCAGCAGCAGCGACCATCCCATTCTGAGACTGCTCGGCTTCATCTGAACGACTGTGTTTGGCAGATGCCCCCCAACAGCTCAGGATACTGAAAAGCACCCCCAACAGAGGCTGGGGCCCTGTGCATGGGGGTGGCGAGGAGTAAGGCCCCAAGAGGATGTCCATGTTGGGGGGTGAACAGAATGAGCTCGAGATCTCTGCCATGGTCTGAATGTGTCCCCCTCAGATCCACGTGTTGAAACTTAATTGCCACTGTGATAATATTGAGGTGGGGCCTGTAGGAGGTGACCAAGTCAGGAGAGGACTCATGAATGGGACTAATGACTATAAAAGATGTGAGGGAGCTGCCTTCTGTCCTTTCTGCCAGGTGAGGACACAGTGTTCAAGGCTCTGTCTTGAAAACAGAGACCGGGCCCTCACGAGACACCAAACCTGCAGGTGCCTTGATCTTGGATTTTCAGCCTCCAGAATGGTTGGAACCAAATTTCTACTATCAATAAATTACCCAGCCTCAGGTATTTTATTACAGCCATTCAAGTGGACTAAGAATCCCCCACTCCCTCCAGCCGCCTAACCCCAGGCGACCCACGTCCCCCGCACTGGGATGGCTGTGAGCCTCATCCCCGTAACAGCTGTGACGTCCCCTGTCCTCCAGCCTTCCCTGGGTGAGACAAAACTTTATTTCCCCTAATATGGGGAGCTTCAATTTTGCCTCTAAAATCCACGTTTAATTTGATGAAGCTGTTCTCCAGCAGAGGGTAGCCCCAGCATCCCTGTCTCTTTGTCAAAACAAATATTTTGAAGCCTGTAATTGACATTTTTTCTAGATTCAATATTCTGCTTAAATAATTCCTCATGAAAGTTGCAAGCTCTCTGGCTAGGAAATTATTCTGCATTGCAGTAATTTCCATGGAGCAATTGAAAACATAATTGTGCCTAATATATTTGACTCTCGACATTTGAAAAGAGGGTCGCAAACATCTGGGACATAATCTAGTGCTCGTGCCCTTATTTTGGATGGATTTTGTCAGCACTGAGGGCCACAGAAGTAAATAACAAATGACAAAATCTGATAAAATGTCGAAGTTTCTCTAGGGTTCAATTTACATTTCAATTATTTTCTGTATATTCATCACCAAAACATGCATGCTTCTATTTAATACATCCACATTAGGGTTTGTTTTTATTTCAACAAACTGCCACTCTGATTTGCTATCTTACTTCCTACTGTGAAGTATAACTTACATCCTTGTTGTAGGAGTTTCCTGGGCTGCCATAACAAATTGCCACAAACTTGGTGGCTTAAAGTAAGATATTTACGTTCTCACATAAATTCTGGAAGCCAGACGTCCGAAATCAAGATGTCGGCAGGGCTGCACTCCCTTTGAAGGATCCTGGGGAGAGTCCTTTCTGCCCCTTCCAGTTTCCAGTGCGTCTGGTGCTGTTCCCTACGAGGGCAAGACCAAGCCCTCCGAAGGGCTCCAGGGTACAGAGGCTTAGGGGACTTTATTGTGTTCCTTCTACGACATCAGTG